TGCTCGTCGCAGTGCCTCACTGGCATTTGAGGCGTCGACATGCCTCATGGGCGCTGCGTCTATTCACAACATGCGTCACCCGCCGCCAACCGGTGTGAGTCCTGTGTTGATGCCATTAAAGGACTCCCCAATTCACTCAAGCTGCTGCCACTGTAGTAGCGGTGGCAAGAGCGGCACAGCCAAAGGCGGCGGTGCTACCAAGACCGATACCTTTGCAGGAGGAAGGCTGATCCAGTCATTGCAGCACCAGCAGCCCCCGCGTGGCAGCGGCATCCAACCGCTACTGGAGTACAACAGGCAGTGGGCCAACAAGGTGGCGGAATTGGACCCAGGGTACTTCAAGGATTTGTCAGAAGGGCAATCGCCGCAGTACTTGTGGATTGGCTGCAGTGACTCCCGCGTGCCGGCCAACGAGGTGGTCGGCTTGTTCCCTGGTGACGTCTTTGTGCACCAAAACGTTGCGAACATTGTTTCTAACTCCGACCTGAACGTCCTGTCGGTGCTGCAGTACGCAATAGAGTGCCTCAAGGTGGAACACGTCATCGTGACGGGGCACTACGGCTGCGGTGGTGTAAAGGCGGCGCTGGATGGCGCCCGCATCGGGCTTGCCGATCACTGGATCCTGCACGTGAGCTCTGTGAAGCGGCGTTTTTGGAAGCGTATGGAAGCCATTCCTCAGAGGCACCACTTCGCCATGCTGTGCGAGCTCAACGTCATCACCCAACTTTCTCACATTCTCGACACGCAGCTCATGCAGCACGCGTGGGATCCCAGCGTCGGCACCGGTGGCAACCCTGCGGTGGAGCTCCATGGATGGATCTACGGCCTCGAGGACGGCATTCTGCGGCCGCTGCTCTCACTCAACCGTGACACGGACCACATGAAGGCCATTACGGCCGCGGAGGACGCCATCTTTTTGCGCTACGGGCTCTTGTCGGAAGGTAATGGCACAAATAGGGCATAGGAAGAAGGAACAGAAAGCCACTACATCAGCGATGCGGGGGCAGCAAGAGCTGCTTTTTGCGTTGTCTTTTTTGTTCTGTCAGCCTTTATTGTTTTTCTTTTTTTGTTTTGTTCTTGACATTTTGCTTATGGGTTGGGGCGGGAACATTCGGTAGAAGAATGCCTGCGTGGATGATGCTTTGGGCTGAGTTGCCTTGCGTTTATGAGTGCGCGTTCGGAAATGCCGCGGGGGCAGACATCTGAGGCGAAAGGGCAGATGGACCATGCTGCTGCTGCTGCTGCTGCTGCTGGTTGTTGTTGTTGTTTCCGAAGCCTCCACCAATGATGCTGCCTGCGTGCGTGTCGCTTCATTGGCTTGCCGACGGTGAAGTTCTGGCGCGCGCGCGCGCTGTGATGTGCTGTGAGGCAGGTGGTGGTGGCGGTGGTGTGTATTAACACCCACGTATATAAATAGAGAGAGAGAGCGCGCGCAAGAGGGATAGAGAGAGAGAGTGTGTGTGTGTGTGTGTGTCAGAGTGAACAGTGCCGCATAGTTGTGGGAGTGCGCCATCCCTTCTCCACCCCCCCCTTGAGACGTGTTGCTGCGGCTCCTTCTCTCCATCCCGCCCACGACGCAGGTATAAGGTGCCGGCGCGCTGAAAAAAAAAAATCCAAAAGAAAAGGAAAAAAAAAAAAGAACAAAAGGACGAGGTATCGAACGAAAGTGGACAGTCTACCAAGTAAAACACGAAAAAAAAAACAGAACGGAGATATAACCTGAGCGAAATAAGCAGTCAAAAAAAATGATGACTGCCGCAAGTGCTGCCGCTGGTCGCCAGTCGTTCCTCGTGGTGTTCGATTTTGATCACACGGTGGTCGACTGCAACACTGACGAGGTGGTGCCCCAACAGTTGGGCTGCGGCGACCACCTGCGCTCCCTCATGAAGGCGCAGCCGCAGATGCAGTGGACGAAACTCGTTGACACTGTCGTGGCGCCTTTCACTCGGGCGCAGATCGAAGGTGCGGTGAAGAAGAGCGTCGTGATGGAGGAGGGAATGCCTGAAGTATTCCGCTTCCTCCAGCAGCAGCAGCAGCTGGGGCAACAGGGAGACAATCCCGCTGCTTCCTCTCAGGTGGAGATTGCCATTGCAAGCGATGCGAACCATGTGTTCATTGAGACTGCCATTGCACATCACATTCCCTTCGCACGACAGGGCATTTCGCAGATCCACAGCAATTCCTTCCACGACGTCACTGACGGTGGCGAGGCGCGACGGTGCCGTTTGACGTGGTACGAGCCGGAAGGACACAACTGCACCTGCTGTAATATGCGCGAACACCCCAACATGTGTAAAAGTCGTATCATATCTCGTCTGCTCCACACGAGCCGACTCATTGATCCCACTGTGATATTCATCGGCGACGGCGCAAATGACTACTGCCCGGTGATAAATGTTCTGCGCCCGCGTGACTACATGTTCGCCCGCCGTGGGTTTCCCATTCACCGCCTCCTCTCCAATGAGACGGAGGCGGGCGGCTGCTGCAAGATTGGACTCTGGGCTGACGCACGGGAGCTGCTGCAGAACTTCCAGCGCGCGATGAGCCCAGCGGAGCGCTTACCAACCCTCGTGCGTTTCCGCGACGCGGGGCCGCATGAGTTCCGTAATGTGACGCTGCTGAAACGGATTCCCCAGGTGCTTGAGCGCACGCTCAAGGACAATGATAACTACACTTCCGACACGGGGCGGAAGCTGATCAATGCGCTCATTAAGGCAACACACAACAACGATGTGGTGGCACCGCTTCCGGGACAAGCGACGGTGCCAGTGTGGCTGCAGAGCTTCGCCATGGCGCCGGAGTACGACCACGACATTGACAGTGTGGAACGGCAGAAGATGGAGGGTGGGGCTATTGCCCCTCGTTGGGGCCAGTTGCCGTGGCTGCATGGTGAGATTTATTTCTATAACCTCATCGCGCAGTACCTGATGCTTGCAGAAGGCAGCAGCAGCAGCAGCGGCGGCGGCGACGACAAGCGAGCACATGCAGTGACAACAGAGCGGGTGCCGAATATCGTAACACCGTATGCGATCTGCAGCCCTATCGGCACACATGACTGCTCCCTCGCGACTCACGCGATGGTGTCAGCGAAGGGGGCCACACCACTGCAGTCCTTTGACCCATCGTTCCTCGCGCAGGGCGGCCTCAAGAGCGTGACGGGGAGCGTGCTGCTGCATGATGGCAGAATGAACTACAACGCGATTGCCGTTGGCGACACCGTTGAGCTCCCACGCACCCATTTCCAATCTTACCGCGATTTTTTCACACGTGAGAAGCACGAGGTGCTGCAGAGCTTCCTCAAGGTGAAGATATGCCCGATGCTCGCGTGCGTGCCGTGGGAGGCCGGTGACGGCTTTGTCGACGTGCTGCTGCGCTGGATGCTGTGGGGCAACAGCGTCGACCTCTCCATGTTCACGCTCGAACAGCTGCAGGAGAAACACCAAGGGGCATACGTTGGAGCAGCAGGAAATGACACAACGCACATCGATGCCCTGCGCGCGGCGGAGGCTGCATCAGTGTCTCGGCAGGATGACAACATCGTTGGCAATCAGGTTGATCAGGTGGCACAGCTTGTGCGGCGCATCGTGCGGAGTGAGCCACGAGACGCCACGACACCGCGCAGCATAGATATTGTGATGGATAACGTGGGCGTGGAGTGCGTGGCGGACCTCATCTTCGCGCTGTGGGTGCTGCAGCACCACCCCTCGCTGCGCGTCACGCTGCACGTGAAGTGCATGCCCTACTACGTCTCCGATGTGACGCCGCCGGATTTCGCTTTTCTGGTGGACCAACTCGAGAGATGTGCGGAGAGGGAGCCGGAGATGTCGAAGTTCCTCCTGCGGTTTGTGCAGTTGATTCGGGAGGCCTTCAGCAACGGCCGGCTCCGCATCGACGCAGATCAGGTGTGGATTCAGCCGTGTGAGTACCGTGAGTTGCCACCGCGGGTTTGCAACACATTCTTCTACACCCAGCGGCTGCTAAGCGCGGAGGAGCTCCAGCAGCCGCCGCAACAACAACAACAACAACAACAACAGGGGCGAGCGTCATGCCCTTTTACCAGATGCAGACGCTTCAAGGCGCTCTCTGCACTCGTGATCTTCAAGGGCGACCTCAACTTCCGCCGTCTCGTTGGCGACCGCCACTGGGACGCCCGCGCGTTCATGACGACACTCTCACCGGCCGAGCGTGCGAGTCCCTCTGTGACAACAACACTCCTCGCTGACACACCGTCTGCGCAGTGGGAGGAGGCGCCAAGCTTTGAGCGCATCGTCTCGGCGTTCTGGCCGGTGCACATTGTACCGGTGTGCGCCATCCGAACGGTGAAGAGCGAAGGCGCCGTTGGGGTCGCAGCGGCGCGGCAGGACGTGCTGGACCGCGCCAACCCCGATTGGAAGACGTCGGGGAAGTGCGGCACAATTCTCCTCGCGGCCAGCGATGCCAGCCAGCATGAATAANCAACCCCGATTGGAAGACGTCGGGGAAGTGCGGCACAATTCTCCTCGCGGCCAGCGATGCCAGCCAGCATGAATAAGAGCAGGAACGTCAGCGTCTGCAGCAGGTAGCGGTGAGGATTAAAAAAGGAATGGAGAACGGGACACAAGGTGCTTGTCACTGAGTCAATACAGGCTTTGGTGTGGATATGTGTGTGTGTGTGTGTGTGTGTGCGTATGTGCATGTGGATGCGGGGAAGCGAGGAAGACGGCTAATGAAGAAGGAGAAGAAACACTTTTTGGTTCTGCAGGTATTTGTGTTGGATACTGCTGTGCCACGAGGTGCGGGTGACCGTCTGGCTCTCGATCTATGTTTTTCTTCCCCGTGCTCTTGCCGTTGCTGTATTGGGCCGGTGTGTTTACTTGTGGCTCGTGCTGGATCCGCCCCACGCCCCCTGGCGTCTCTGCCCTCTCCCCCCCC